GCGTGTATAAAACATGTCGAAATATGATGAAAACCTTAGTACAGTTTTTTGTCAGAGGCGGCCCCTAAGGGAGATACGGCCCCTTGAAGGGGGACTCACGAAACAGTTTTTACTGCATAACTTTAAAACGGTTTAATATTAAATCACGAAATTTTGGGGTTGTATCACTATTTGTATGCTTAATAGTTGGTATAATATACAAATCAAAATTTGCTACAGGGGCATAAGAAAATGTGGGATCATAGGACAAATTCTACATTTTTTTCTAGTTCCTGAACCGAAAATATGAAAATTTATCATATTTTGCATAAAAAGGTACTCTTGTTAGATTTTAATAGCATGCGCTGTTTTCTAGTAGAGGAATCCGCGCGGATCACCTATCTTATTCCTTCTCAAATTGGAGTTTTGAGTAGGTATTCTAATCAGTAATTGGCCTATTTTGACACCTCTGTTAAGTGTCAAAAATAGTAAATTTTTCATGGCACAATACATATGACACATTTATTTTGCAACAGAAATGTTTGAACACGTAATAAATTATTGAAATGAATTTTACTAGAAAACAGCTCATTAAAGTCTAACAAGAGTACCTTTTTTTATAAAAAATATGATAAATTTTCATATTTTCGGTTCAGGAACTAGAAAAAATTGCTTACAAAAAAATATTGTAGAATTTGTCCCATGATCCCACATTTTCTTACGCCCCTGTAGCAAATTTTGATTTGTACATTATATCGACCATTAAGCATACAAATAGTAATACAACCCCATAATTTCGTGATTTAATATTAATCTGTTTCAAAGTTATGCAATAAAAACTGTTTCCTGAGTTACCCTTTCAAGGAGCCGTATCTTCCACTGGGCTGCCACTGTATATATGTCACCCTTTACAACTGTTGTATTTAAGTTTATTTCTATAATAAGAAGTTGTAAGTTGTAAGAAATTATAAATATAACCAATCACCAATGTTTTAAACGTACAGGTACGTTTAAAACTTTCAAGTAAACAATACAAAGTTTCTCTTCATTCCCTCTACGTTTTGTTGGAATATACTTTTTGAAATCCCATACAGATTACATAATGGCTTCGCGTCTGCTGATGTCATGCAGTGTATTCCAAAGGAATTTAAATCAAAACTTTGAATGGAACTTTCACAACACAGATTCAGTATTTTTAATACTTCCATCGATTTTGATTAAATAAATCAATAATATATAAAATACCGTTCAACTACTATGCTGTCCTATTACAGTTCTTTTAAAAATGTTAAAATTGTATAAAATAATATGTTCACTAAATCAGTGGGACGATCAAAATAACAAAAGATAAATAATTTTCTGGAGAATGTCCCGAAGTTTCAAATACCTAATTTGACGAAACTTCTATTTATATTTTTTGATTGCATGCAAGACTAGAATGCAAGACATGCATTCTCGTCTTCAGCCTGACAGGCAATCTAACCACGAATGATAGACAATCAAACTTAATTCCCTAAATGAATCAATGGGGTACATTTTTTATTTCTTTTACAAAAATTGAATTATAATCAGTAAAAGGTATTATTTTTAATTGAAGAAACTATTTATAAAAATATTTTTATTGTTTATCCCAACCTAAATAGAAAAAATATTTTCTGTTTGGAAAAGGTTATACTATATCATAAAGATAAGTTCTTGTATAACTCCTTTCTTTCAGAGATATTGAAAAGAGTAAAACCAACATCATTTAGATTCATTGTATCACTGTGAAGAGGTTTCATTGATGAACGTATTTTGTTCTCATGTAGACCGAATTTTTCCATAAGTCTTCAAGAATATAACACATAAATAAAATATAAAATATTCATTTAACTTCAGAAAAAACAAAAACGAATTTACTGCTAAATACTGAATTTATTTGGCGTCAAACGTACTCTGATCACATGGAACTCGGACTTTGTTCCAAGCACTATATCTGTAAACAATAATATCATTTTAATTTATAATCAATCGCATTACGTTTTTTTTTATAAAATGAATAATAATAATCAGTAAGCTGAAAATATGTTATATTTATGGTCGTCAAAGAACCATGCCTATTATAAATAAATTTCACACCCCGAAATTAGCATCTCATATTTGGCAAGCGGAGTGCATTATCGATTGTGGCATCCATGTCTGGTACTTTGTATGCATCCTTGTCTCTATATCCAATTAGTTTTTTGGCCATTCTCCGCTTGGGTATTATTGTGTTTTATAGAACTATGAGCATATTCCGTTTTTAATAAAGTTGTAGTTTTTGCCAAGTTCTTGTTTTGTCCGACCTGCAGGCTTTTCCTTATTTCTATGTATCAAACAAGACATTTCTTGCGAGTGCCTACATAAAATACGTTTTAGCGGTGCTTACTGCTTTATTGCCCTAGTTTTCCGACCACTTTTCGTCACTTTTGGTCTGAATATTTATTTCTATCGCATTTATAAAGTTTATGTCAGATAGTTTATTGCTATGTTAATTTTCCGCTCCGGTTCCTCTATTTTCTGATTGTGCGATTTAACACACATATACAACAAAAATGAAAACATAAATATACGGGGTGACCCCAGCATAGGTAAGTTCAGAGATCCAATTTACGTGTTGCAGGGTGACAAATTTTACATGAACCAGAAAATATAAATTATTCAAATTTGGTAAGCTCTACAAGCTCTAGAACAAGGGTCGGCAACTGGCGGACCGCGGTCCAGGTCCGGACCGCGGAAGATAAAATACTGGACCGCCAAAAATTTTTTGAAAATATAAATTACTCAAATAAATTATTTAAAAAATGTTATTTACGTTTAAGTGCCAATCTTATCATTTTTTCTAGTATTTTACAATTGTGTGAGTGTTTTGAGTTCTTAATTAGTAAGCAGATTAAATTTGAGTCCAAATCAAAATAAAAAAAAAGAAATATGAATTTTTCCTGGACCTCGTTAAAAATTTTCAAAAGTATCCGTACCGCACCTAAAATTACTTGCCGACCCCTGCTCTAGAAGCTCCTAGAATAATGTCGGTGAGTTCTGAGGGCAAATCTTTAGGTATCCTTAAAAAACCGAAAATTGCCTTTTCAAATTTTGTTCAGAATAACATTAAAAATAATAAGGATAAAAAATTATTGTAATGGTCAAAAATGAAACTTTCTAGAAATTAATAAAATATTTTCTTGTAAATTTTATCAAATATGTGCATATGCATTCTTCTCAAAGATTATTTTTATTAAACAATTTTTGCCTAACAAAAAATATCATAGACAAAAGAAGTAGACAAGTAAAAATACACATCATTTATGAGTAAGGCTGTCAGAGAGAACCGCAATTCAGTGGCGTGTCAAGCGGGTCAACAGTTGTTGCGGATGTTGCGTAATGAATTCCTATTCGTTGGTATTTATGGTGGAGTATTGTAGACAATTTAATTTGTTATTTTTTAATAAATAATGCGTACGTCTATGGCCTGCGGTTCAGTTCTGTCAGCCCAATTTATTAGTTAAGGTTTCAAAAAATCAGTTTGTTTCCATTATTTAAAACGAAACGACGTTTCTTTTTTAATTAGCTTAAATACATTTGTTTCCATAATTAGAGATATAAATTTATGTTTTCCTCTATTATTATGTCTCTGTTCTTTCTTTTTGTAATATTTGTAGCCAATAAGGATCCAAATTCGCAAAGTAATTATATTTAATTTCATAGAAAGAAGGGTAAATAAATTTGTTCGTGGAATATATCAAAGTATGTGAAAGCAATTAATTTTATTATTTTAAAGTTTGTATAAGGACACACAGGAACGATTCTATTTTCGAGATTTGTAACACCAATCTTCTTAAGAAGAAGTGCTTGAGGAAATCCTCAAAGGGTGTAAACATCTGTCTTCTTCCAATATATTTTTTTATATCTTCAGCAGCCCTTGGCAAGGCAATTGATATAAGAACATGATACTGATATTCATGAAGACATTATGAGAACGAGAACAGAGATACAGACCAAGAAAGTGAGGAAGTTAGAAATTTAAATAAGGACATGGTAATAATCAAAAAGTCTCTTATGTAGTTGCAGAATTACCGGGGAAGAAAACATCGAAGTATTGCGATTGGATTGGAAACTAACGAAGACACGACTCAAAACAATTTTTGTTTAGTTTATGGGTTCAATTTCCCCAAACTTTATGATGATGACACATTTATTTGCGGCAAATTAAGTCTTTCGGGATCCTGACAAGAAGGGGAAGTGTTTTTTTTTTGGACGCTGACAAAATCAGGATAGACTTGATTTACTTGTTTTACATCTTCTGAAAGGGAACAGATATCGAAAAACTTTTGTAATAAAAGTTTTTGAGAATGATGTAAAAAATAGTAAATTTGGAGAAGTTATTTCTATGACGTCGCGGCCCTTAGAGCGGTAAGCTTACCACGATGGTAAATAGTTGTTAAATACTCAAATCATGTCATAAAGATCCCCGCTTCCGGTTTCCTAATGGCTCTCTTCAGTTGAAATATTTTTTTAAAGCATATTGCGTGGGCAAAGCCATCCTAACGATGTCCAAAGTTGCTTGAACTCCAAAAGAATATAAAATGAGTGTTATTTTGCAATTTATTTTTAAATTATCTAAGATATTTAATAGAATGTGGGTAAAGTAACACGAAGCTTACGGCACATGTTACAATCGAAGTGTAGGTGATAATTTCTGCAATTTTCAAGAACTCTCGAATTATCGATTCTAGAAAAACAACATTCTAAATGCATTCCTCGTAACTTGACACGTTGATGTGTATCAAGGTAAAACCTTGATAGGAATAAAATCGGACTTAAGGCATCCCCTCGGGATCTGCAGGAGTCACCTACCTCGTGACGCGCGATATGTCGTGTCTTCGGCCCGCCCTTGACTTGATTTATCAAGGCAAGGTTGATGCACGCCCTCCCCGGAATGGACAAGGCTCTGGCGGTGAACCGGACTGTTTCCATCGCTTTCTGCACCTTTCCGTATAAAATAAAGCTGAGATACCTCTCGGTAACAGTGACCGAGCGTAGTTTAGTGCAATCTCTACAGTTACACTTAGAAAAGTAAGTTGTTTTACGGAACCATAAACATAAAACCAGTCGTGATATAGGAGACGATTTCTCTAAAACCCGGAAGAGTGTCAGTTGGTGTAAACGTGTCCGGTTAACCGTCTTAAACGCAGTCCAGATACGGCTTTTGATATTTCGCTTCCATTTATGTAAGTTTAGAGTCCACTGCAGTGTCCAGTTCATATTGGAGATTTTCATTCCAGTTATACCTATTTATTCCAGGATAGGAGAGAGCACGAGTTTAAGTAACAGTTTTGTTCCCATAGCGTATAGGTCCTAGATTATCCAGCATTTTTAGACTTTTCTTGGATTAATAGACTGAAAAAATGTAGCTAACCTTTTTATTTTTATAAAAGTCGTACTTTATGCTTTTTTTCTCTCTAGCCTGAAAGCCTTAAAATGAATTTAACGCAAGGCAAGATTATATTTAATATAGATTCACATAAATGAAGACGTTTACAAATAAAATACAACTTTCTAAATGACATAAAGATCAACAATCCGTTGCCACTTTCACGTATACGACATCATGAAATTATAATTTGTTACATTTAAATTCAAATAAATTTCCTCCAACTCTTAACCAATTGGTATTTTCATGAAAAATAACCTTTAATTTAATTTTCACAAATGGCAAAATACCAAAAAAATAAAGAAAAAAAGCTAAATTAGTTAGTCAATATTGACAGTAGTGGCGGTGTTGCTTTCGTCCCCTGTTTGTCAGTAGGTATCTGATCTGTTTAATTCAATCAAACTATAACACAAATAGTACTCAAATCCTATCTGTACATTGCAAGCAGTAAGAAAGTGATAAAATTATAGCAAATTATGACAATTTATGGTTCAGTTTCTTGAAGAATTGGTAAATGTAAAGCAGGTTTCAAAAAAGTTATGTATTATAACAAGCAAATGGCTTAAGGATAGATATTTAAGAGAACGGACCTCAGGTATTACTTCTTGTCGTCATCAAATATTAGTTAAAAATTATGTTTTAAAAAGAAATTTGCCATTCATCTATACCTATATACTCTTTGGAAGACCAACAATAAACAAAAAATTTACATGACAAGAAATCTTCCATTTAAGTATAACCGAAACGAGTTTCTAATCATATATACCTTAATCTCAGAAAAAAGAAAATATGTGTTTAGGAATATGTCCTATGATTATCAAAAACTGAAAATGGTTATATTATTTAGGACTTTTATTTTTAGGGAAAACTACTTAGATGTATGTATGTGTCACATTAATTAAAAAGAAGACAAAAGGTGGATCAGAGACAAAAATTGCGTTTTAAAATATAAAACGACTAAATGTTTACTCAAATAACACCACATTGATATTAAGTAGATTCTTAATATACAGTTTGTCCCGTTTTTCAGGTTAACACCTCTGGAAATGTGAGAAGGCTGTGGACTTTCCGCAATCCAATTTTTTTTTACATATAGCACCCTGAAGGGAGGTTTTATTCTACTACGATTTTTTAAAAGGGTCATTTTTCCAGAAAGTGGTATTAGGTATTTTTTTATCAAAAAGATAATATTACCAGGCTATTCAACACCCATCAAAATACCCATATACCAAATTTGAACCACAAATGTCTATTGAGTGTTTTTTATGTGGTGCCAAACTTCGAAAAATTGCCGTGAAAGTGAAAACAAGTACAAATTGAACAAAGAAAAAATACAGACACTATAAATTTAACAATAATAATAATTAACGTACAAAAAATGTAGATAATGAATTATAAATATTAAGTTGTTAAACAAAAATCTGCAAAACAATCTAAATTAAATTTTAGTTTTCTCGAACTATGGACTTTTGGGGTTTTATAAAGCAAAAATTTTATAAAAACAGACCAAGGAATTTAGATGACCTAATGAATTGCATAAGACAAACTTGTGCAGAGATTACTCCACAACAGCTATGTAAATTATTTTTAAATTTAAGAAGAGGATTGGAAAAATGTTTTCGACTGGAAGGAGGTTTGGTGGAGAAAACTAAAATTTAATTTAGATTAACGTTTTGCAATTTGTTTGTTTAGTATTTACAATTCATTATATTTTTTGTAAGTTATTCATTATATTTTTTGTAAGTTATTATTTTTATAATTAATTAATATAATTAAAAGTTTTAAATTTATAGTTCCTGTATTTTTCTTTGTCCGATTGGTATTTGTTTTCACTTTCATGGCAATCTTTGACCTGCTTATTATAATTTTTAGTTGTCTGATTTATCGAAGTTTGGCACCACATAAAAAAACACTCAATAGACATTTGTCGTTCAAATTTGGATATGGGTATTTGGATGGGTGTTGAATAGCCTGGTGATATAATCTTTTTGATAAAAAAAATGCCTAATACTACTTTCTGGAAAACGACCCTTTAAAAAAATCGTAGTAGGCCAGGATTTTGTCACATCAATAAAATGATTAGTAGAATATAACCTCCCTTCAGGGTACTATTTGTAAAAAAAATTGGCTTGCGGAAAGTCCACAGCCTTCTCACATTTGCAGAGGTGTTAACCTGAAAAACGGTACACACTGTATATAAAAATAAAAAGTGATTAAAAAAAGTATTTCTTTCAATTTTTATTATGATGCATCCTATTTCCTTAAATCGAGAAATTTTTAACCGTTAAATTTTTTCGTATATAAAAAAGGGGTACATTATATCAAAAATTAAAAAAAATACCTTTTTGTCATCACTTTCTGTTTTTTCAGACATCACCGCCATTATTGCAATGAAACATTGGAGAAAATGTTAATACATTTCGAACTTACGACTAGATTTATGAAAAAGGATGTTCCAAAATTAATATTTTTAAATGATTTCTGTGATACCTGTCTGCTAAAAAATATGATTGCATTTTCATTACAAATATCCAGTATCTCTGAAATACAAAAATTTATACACTTTTTTGTTCTTGACAGTAAAATGTGGCTATAAAGTTGTGTATCCACTATTTTAGATACGTTACACATACGCATAGTATTTAAAATTGACTAAAATATGAAATTAAAAGCAAGAAGTAGTTTACAAATTAAGTAAAGTCTGCCTAGTGAAATGACTAGAATGTAATTTCTTCAACATCAAACATTAATCTGCGATTTATATCAACGGTGCGAATAAATTTCTCTTTATTAAAAAAAATAGGTACCTAGATACCGACGTCGGGATGTAGAAAAAATGAATCGTTTAATTTCTGTTTTTACTATGAAACCTTATATATTTAAAACGTAAACAAACAACTGAGTATGTAACAATATCGAAACAGCGCCACAAACAAGCAATAAAAAAATAAAAATCCATTTTAATCCAGCAAACACAATTCATTTCAGTTCCGCTTTGAATGAACGTGTCGGTCTTTACGAGAAACATAACTGACTTATTATCATTCCGATAAATAAAATAAAGAGGATTGGTCCAGGAAATTGGAGCCCAGCGTGCTCTTTGATCTCGTTATTGAATGGCCTTGGTAAATAAAATAAAAGAGGCAAGGTGAACAACACATTTCACTACCGTATTGGGTTCGGTACTCGTGTAGGAATTAAGAAACTGGGTTACATTGGTCCGTTTTGCTCACATTCCACAGCTTATCAAAATATTTACAAGAACTATTTGTTTATATTTGTGACAAAATAATAATGTAAATGTAAATCATTGAATTAAATTGTTTCATTTCATTTTAACATTGGTAGTAAAGATATACCACAGAATCTCAGTGAAAGTAACAAGTTACTATATATTTAAGGTTGTATGAACGATAACGGGTACTATTATCATAATATTGTCATTTTAGGTCACTCACCTGTAACTACTTTCACTGAAAATTAGTTATATTATGTATGATGAAAACACGGCGTTATTTTTTGCGAATACCACGAAGTTTTTAAAGCAGTTTTTATGATTCTCAAGTAGCATAAGAACCACCGTTTATCTGTGAAACCATATAGTATGTTTGCAGCTTTTACCAATAAATACAGTGTTGTTAGTAAGGTGCGACGTTTACTTCCTGAAAACAGAACAAGTTAAATGCCTTTCTTTTATTTCTATTTCTAAAGGATGTCCTAAAATTCACGCAAGTAATTTTGATAGAAAACGCACATTTTTAATTAAAAATTGTAATTTTTTTATTGTTTCTTAAAGTATACAGTACAGAGATATGCATGGATTGGAACATCAGGTAAACGACCTCCACGGTTTTGCTAGCACACTCTTGTCGAATTTTTCCATGACCGACCAAGAGTGGTCAGATGATGTCTCCTGGATGCATTTGTTTCTCAACAATCACTCGCAAATTTTCTCGAGTTTCAAATGCAACAATTTTGTCAATCCATCAAGATGAAAATAAGCCGTCTCGCTGAAGACGATTTTGTTATAATCCATTCAACGAACTCTCTTTGCTCTGCTTGATCTGTAGGTTTCAGTTCTTGAGTCAATTGAATTTTGTAATCAGGAATATGCAAATCTTTCATGATAATACGTTATAGAAAGCTTCTTGAAATGTCCAATTCTTGACCATGGTGCCGAATTGTTGGACTCTCAGCAACACTCTCACAAACTGCCCGATGTTTTGTATTGAACGACTTGAAGGGCAACCAGACTGTTTAAGATCACTAATTGATTCATAGTCCAACCAAATTACACTTGGAGAAAAAAAAAATTATTACCTGAACTGAATACTGAATACCTGAATAAATGGAAATTGTAAAAGGGCTTATAATAAACCTAAAAAAAATAAATGCGTGAGCAGGGGCGGCGGAGGGTTGATTTGGTGGGTTGAAAAGTTATGAAAAATTGTCTGGCGAAAGTTGAGTTCAAATAAAAAAGTATCCAATAAAAAAGTTGTAGATCATGCAAAAATCTACAACTTTTGTAGACGTCACTTTTTAACATAACCTCAAAATTTTAGCCGAGAAAAATGCGAAAAACAGTTTTTTTTCCGATTTTTCGTTTTTTATTTCCCATTTTCGCAAAAATTATTTAATTTTA